CTTTTATTTTTAGTTTTTTTGGCTAAAATAAAAATTGTAAGAATGAAATGTTGGTTATTTGAGAATCTCTTTACTAATTTATCACCTTTATTTTTGCTTTTCAGAGAAGTAAAAAAGTTAGAACTTGTTTGAATATTGGTTGGTCTAATAGTTGTTGATGAAAAGGTTTCTGTTGAGGTTCTCGAATTTTCTGCAATTTCATAGTTAAAATCACCAAGATAATCATCAAAATTATCTTCGATTATCTCGTAGGGTTCTATCATCTCGTAGGTTCTATTATTGTTTATACTACTATTAAAGCGCAACAACATTAACTTTTCTGATTTTCATGCAAAGATATTTTAATATTTTATTCACAAAAAAGTTTATCAACTTTATAGATTGCCAATTCTTTCAACTATCTTATATTTAGCAAATTGGTCATGACTACCATATAAGTACCAATAATATCTACATACATATTATTTTAAAATAAAAGCTATCTTTTTAAAACTGACATTTCTAGAATAATGTGTATGTGCGCCTTCATATTGCAAGTTGGTCTGTTATTAATCAATCAAACTATTGATGTTTTTAATCAACCAAAGTCTTATTGTGCAGATTTAGATAATCCAAATAGAATAATCTACTTTGTTAATTGTCACAAATATGAAATTGGGGTTAAAAGGAATTTACTTTATAATGATTAATTTTTTACTGATGTGCCAAGTTAGCTATGATTTTTATTCAGAAATTGGGGTTAAAAAAACAACTAAGGCAAGTAGTTTTATGTGAGTTTTATATTGCAATAATTTAGCGCATTTGAATTTTTATTAATTAAAAATTAAAAACTTCTAATTTTTTAGGTAGTAATTAAATCGAATTATAAAAAATTTAACGGATAAGTATAAACAACATATATTTTATATTGAATAATACAGTCAGACCTCTCTAAATGTATTGTGACGAGATTATATTCAAAAATTTAATCAAATGTGCATTTAGAGAGATATTTCACTTAGAGAAAGTAAAATTTATAAGTATTATATTAGTTGGGCCCATACAAAGGCATGCAATTAGAAAGACTTTTAATAGAATGCACATTTAGAGAGAGTGTATTTAGAGGGTCTGACTGTATTAGTAAAATTTATTAATCGAAGTCTATATAATTTCAGGCTATATCATCATTAATTGAGTTATTCAAAAGAAGTTCTATCAAATGTAATACAGTATCTTGAACACCAATAGGTACAATTTTTCAAATATATGTATAAAAGAGAATTATTCGATATTTACTTGAAATTGGCGCAACTACTTGTTTTATTATTTTTGCTTATGCGATTTGAATGTATAATTTTAAATAAAAAAAAGTTTTTAAAATTTAGTCTTAACTATCATGTATATATGATAAAAAACAATAACAAATCGATTTGTAAATTATTCAAGAATCAAACAGATTGCTTAACTGAAGAATTAACTACTATTCGTGTATATTTAGAACAACTATGAAAACTAATCATTTTAAAAAGGTTATTTTAATCAAGTTACATACTGGTACTATGTATATACATATACATACCTTAATTCGAATTTACTAATTTAATTTAGATTTAGTCCAATTCGAATTTCAACCGAATATATTACAAAAAATCTGAATTTAATCTGAATAGTCTTTAAAAATTAGGATCGAAGCACTATGATTAGTACTTAACACTTAATGATTAGTGATTACACTTTACGCTTAGCATTAAGTAAACTACGCTTAGCTATAATGATTAGCGATTAGCTCTAAAGATATAAAAAGGATATAAATTTCCCAAAGTTAACATTAGATCTGCACTGTCCACCTCTTAGACTCAAACTCCCTCTTCTCTAAAATTCTCTCTTGTAATATTATAGGATTCTTTAAAAATAAAAATCTAAGGATAGTCTATCTTATTCTCTTTAATAAAACATATATTTTATCCATAAACTATTGTCTGCCCGAACTGCCACAAACAGAAGAGTATAGTTTCTAGTAGAAATTATACTTACATGTTGGACACTGCTATAAATCTGTGAAGGATCCCTATAGCCATGTTATTGTTATAGTATTGCTGTTAAGAAGACCATGTTACTGTAACACTATTTTGGGGTTATCTAAAACAAAATAGAATCATGTAATATTTGACTAATTAAATTATAGAATTTTAATAAGCAAAACAAGCAATAAAAATAAAAAATCTAAAAAATACACAAAACAGCAGTTTAAATCTACTTTAGATAAATTAATTAAAAATATTAAAAAGGTAATTTTGCTTAT